AAATAAGATTAACATCTTCCATCAGAAATAAGATCATAACGTGATAGAGATCTTTATTTCCTTCTAACTTTCTCGAAATGAGCGGAATGTTTATAGATAGAAAGTAATTACGCTGTAAGCATTGTTTATACAATGATGCAACAATAGTATAAGACACAATCTGCAAGATGAGATAATTATATCAAGAACGGAAATAGGAAACAGTAGTTACATATCTATTCCTCAACGATTATATTCCAATTGCATTTGTTTTATTATGTGCAGACCATATACCCCACGAATCCCAATGTTGCGTAAGCACAACAATATCAGTAATAAGCTATGTCAAGACGCATCTACGTAGTAAATATTCTGCAATAATAAAACAAGATTCCAGTCAGTGTGCCAAATAATATACAATAAAAAATATTGTTTATTAATTAATTTAAAAATTGAATATCAGTACCTACCACAATTCACTACATTGTCTGCGAGTTTCAAAATTCAACGAAGCCAAATTGACGCTCAGATATGAATTAAAAGTGCCTAACCTGATCAAATAGCATTTCTTCTAGCGCGAGAGTTATACAGAACAAACTTATATCGAAACGCTTGTCTAAAATAATGTACATATTAAATGTTGCGTTTACGCAACGTTGGGGCTTAATGGGTTAAACGATTACAGGAGCAAAATCGGAACAGCATCTTACACATGATCTGTAAAGTAGACACAAGACACGACCACTGACAAGCAATGTAGAGAAAGCCTTTACGTATTACGGTAGCAAGGACGACGTGGCTGTCACTCTCGGGGATGAGGCATTTTCACGCCTGTCTGCGCAGGAGGCGAAGGAAAGAAAAAGGAACGGCGAAGACTGCGCGCCTGGTGAATGGCAAGGGACGGTGTCACTTCCCGCCGAAGCAGGCGGACGAGGATATGATCCGGCACGCGGTGCGATGCACTTTCTTCACAGAACGTGCATCTTTACGCTTCTATGGGTGTTCTCTACAAAGAGGATTAACAAAAGTGAAAGTGCGCGTCTGCTTTCGTCGGGCGGTGGACTGGCGGACAGAGGGACTGGTGTACAGAGGGTATGGCGGACAGAGGGACTGGCGGATAGAGAGACTGGCGGACAGAGAGACTGGTGGACAGAGGGACTGTCGGAGAGAGGGACTGGCGGATAGAGAGACTGGCGGACAGAGAGACTGGCGGACAGAGGGTATGGCGGACAGAGGGACTGGCGGACAGAGGGACTGGCGGACAGAGGGACTGGCGGACAGAGGGTCTGGCGGACAGAGGGACTGGCGGACAGAGGGACTAGCGGACAGAGAGACTGGTGGACAGAGAGACTGGCGGACAGACGGACAGACTGACAAATGCGATTTCCTAATATTTTTGTGTCAATTGAAAGCGTCAACACTACGAGAAGAGAAACAGGATCTCTTTCTATGGCCTTTGAATGCGATCTTTCTACTGAATAAAATTAAGATAGTAGTTTCCATAATATAACAGTATATCGGGCTGTCAAACCCATGCGGGTTCAAACACGATCAAAGTCGTGGATTTTTAAGGGTGAATAAAATAATTCGTACGTATTCTTTGGAAGGGGAAGTAAATCCGGCTGTTAATGTGGTCAGATGGGCAGACAGACTAACAGACGAGAGACGGAGAGACAAAAACAGACATTTTGCTGCTAGCCAATTTTTCGGTACTAAGGATTAACAAAACTTGTGTATATGTATACTTACACTGGGTTCTGACTATTCAATGTATTATAAGAACATCCTTCTTTTAGAAGTAAGAATTGTTTATTTTTTCTATCATGGGCATACAATGCGAATATGTCTGTCAAAAAATAGCTGTTTTCCGCTACAAATTCCATATACTTATTCTATACTACGTAAGTAATATGGAGAAAGTAAAAAAGCAATAGAAACTTGGTAGTCGGAAGGAACGCGCGGATTAGATGATTTGCACTTTTAAAAATAAATCTGATTAAATTGTTGAGTAATAACATTACAAAACAAGGTTCCATATGCCACGCATTTCCGCTAGTTATGCAATGAGAGTTAGGAAAGATACATGAAAGCCACAAGCGATTTCCTGTAATCATCAGCGTGTTAATCATCACCATGAGGTTAAGAGAAACAAGTTCACTTCATATGGCCCTTTAATGCGGTCTTTCTACTGAACAAAACAAGAGAGCGACTTTGGTGGTATAACGGTTTGCATAAAGAGCTATAACACCCATATTTGCGGGTTCAGACATGATGGGAGCCTGAATAAAATCATTCTTACGCCTTCCTTGGGAGAAGTAAATCCGGATGTTAATGTTGTAGATTTACTGCGAGATAAAGATCCTCAAACCTAAGGTAGATATAAAATATAAAATATATAAAAATAAAATTGCCTGTTTCGTCACCCGAATATACTTATTCCGACAGTTGCTGAAAGGAACGTAGCGAAATATGCGTGGTCGGAGCGAAAATTGAATTGATTTGAAACGAAAGAAAGAAGCCTTGTGAGGTGTAAAAAGTGATAAGTGTACAATAGTGTATATTACAAGATGTACAACATGAAAAGTTCTTGTTTAATAATCCAGACGGACTTCGACATCTATTGAGTGGCAAGTAAGTAAATAAATATAATAAATAATATGGCTTTCCTAAAAAACTTGTGTCATTTGCTAAGTAGGTTGATATAAACGAAAGAAACGAGGTCAAGCATTAGGCTTACATGAGTATTAAAATTTTAGTTAATAACTATATCACAATAACCATTAATTTCTTCCAATAAATGCTATTCTACAATTATAGATTCTACAATGTAGAGTGATGCTAAGCTTTGTTCTTCAGAAAAGAAAGTATTACAAATTATAATGAAGCCTATAGTACCTGCGAGATAAGAAGCAATGTTACGAGAGAGGAAACAATGAAACAGCAGAAAATATGGCAGGAAGGAGGTGGGGGATTAGTCTGCAGCAGCTGTTGCGCAGTGAAAGGAAGATTGGGTGAGCGCAGAGAAGAGGAAGGTGGCGATGGAAAAGAAAAACAAGAGAACGTGAGAGGCATCTCGAAGTAGAAGGCCGCAGGCAATATCACAGAATAATGCAGACAATAGATAAGGTTAGAAGAGGATTACAGAGTTTGAACTACGGAAATTTGAATACAAAACATGTAAAGGAATATACGTTAAATAATGGAATTTAAAATAATGAAAAGCGGCAAAATATAAAAAAAATATATACTATCCGAAAATGGTCGTTCAAACTCGATAAATAGCACACGTTAGTGAGAAGCCTTCATCACTGGATGAGAAAATCGTAAAGCTATTGTTTCTTCACTCTGTTAGCATTTCTAAGCATTGAAAAAGAAGTTTGCTTAATGAAGATAGTTATAAATTAATAGCATATGTTAAATTTATTAGGTATATTGTTGCTTAACATAGAAATTGTGTGATCGAAGGACAATTTTTACAATTTTAAATAATAGAAATTTTTATTGTTCCTGATAGTAATTGTCTTCTCTGAGTTGTTCATTACTGTGCTGTTATAAAAGTGTTATGTAGATAGCGTAATAGACATACACAAATATAAGAATGTATTTAAAAAAAGTAGATAATATTTAAAAACAGTAAAAAGATAGTTTAATGGTAAGAATTTATCAAATAATAATAATAATAATAATAATAATAATAATAATATATTTATTGTTATCAGAATTATATTTCAATATTTTAAAATTCTAGCACACCCTTCTTCTTCACTTTTTTGAATTTAAACATAAAATACTACAAGGATAGTCTTACAAAAATGTTACAAAACAAAAAAATTAATTAAAAAAACATTAATATAAATATAATTAAATACTAAATAACAATGTAAAATTAAAAAAAACATATTTCATTAAAGTGCAATATTATTATGTAGCAATTAGAGACTAGTTTCCCAAAGAGAAAAAATAAGGAATTCAAGTGCTTTCATTATCAATAGCTCTCTTTCAGAGAATTCAGAAGTACGTCTACGAAAACAGACGAGAATCTAAAGTCCCTAGCCATTTATCTGTAGTGATAATACTGTGAAATGACTGAGTAATGAAATAGTTCAAAGGCGGAGGTGACGTCATAACTTTCGTACGAGTATAATATAGTTTCCTGCCAGAGGCTGTGTGTTTCCACGTTCCGCGTTATTTACATTGTTATTTGCGATACTCACTAGTTAATTACACACGTTGATCAAATTCATTGTTTTTCACAACACGCACAACACGAACATTCAAAAAATATTTACAACAATACTTTTTTGGGTAATTTTCAGTGCCTGAGAATGAATAAACCTGCTAACAGCAGTATACTAAAATTTTATTTATATTATGAACTTGCAAAGCACAAATAAAACTTAAAACTAATACACGGTGGAGGCGCTAAGCTCAGCTAGTTCCCTGCTGTTCATACGGTGTACGGAAACGCTACGAGCCAAAATTTGATGACGAGGTCACAGAAAACTCCGTTCGGGGTGGAGGCGTGGAGAGGAGTTTGTGGCGAGAGCGGAACGGCGGCGAGGCCGGCGGCGGCAGCAGCAGCGCGAGGGGGTTGCAGATGACAGGGGATAAAGATGTTGGAAACAATTGCAGCCTGCGGAGGCGGCTGGAGGGGGAGGGCAAGGGCGGCGACGGCGGGGCGCCAGGCCTGTCGTCCCAGTCTCCGCTCCGAGAAATCCTGCTCGCCAGGCAGCGGCAGAGACGCAGTTGGGGAGGAGGAGATGGAGGAAACGACGGAGTTAGAGACGGTAACGGGGATAGTGGGGGTGGAGGTGGGGGAAGTGAAGGTCCTGGCGGTGACGGCAGCGGTGGTGGGGAATGCGGCGCCAGCGTTGTCGAGGTTGCTGGGAAATCAGCGGAGACGGGAACAGCGGAAGAAGCGGCGAAGGCGGGTGGAGGTGTGGTAGGCGGCGGATGTGGAGTACTGAAGAAGGCGGACGCGGGATAGGAGGACGTGGCGATGGATGCAGCTGCGGCGGGGGATGGCGGTGGGAGCGGTGGCACTTGTGGGGCAGTGGAAAGGACGCGGAGACGGCAGATTTGGCGGCGGTGGTGGCGGCAGAAATAGAATCGATTCGATAGCTCTGTCGCCGCCAGGGTCCGCCGCGGTCGCCAAAGAAAGTGTGCATGCTGCTGACAGAGGGCTTTACGCCACGTGCCAGAAGATGCCATCGCATGCTGACAGATTCGCGGAGAAGCTCTTTAACACGGACAGTCGTATAGTGGCGACTTCTACTTGTCTCTTTCACTGCCTATTGCTGTAACATACGGACGATTACCAAGTGGTTTAAAGATACTCAATGAAGATTTAAGATATTCATAAGGACAGTCCATCTCTTCGATTTTATTTGAAAAAAAAGTGTACACAAATCTTTGTAGTAACTTGTAAAAATTCGATATTTGAAATTCCAAGTGAATAACTGTGTTGATGTGAACATGTACGTTAACTTGATTTACTTTAGGTAATACCAAAATAAGTATTGAATTTATGTATATCTGAATACTTAAATTATTGCGTATGACTTGAACGCGCAAAATCCTGCCTGGACGAAGTTCGAATCCTCGCTGGGGAAAGAGCGCTCTAGAAGATCGCTGCGAGAGCGAGGGTTAGTTGGCCTCGCGTAGCATACGCGAGCGGTTTCGTCTCCGCCCGTTGTTTCATGATGGCTACCTCTACCGTCAAGAAGTCAGTGCAAATGGCACACGTTAAGTACAACCCAACAAAGTAGCAACAGAAATTTATTTGTTAGTTCTGAGGCATCAGACATATATCCGAACGCAATTGAGAAGCTGAAAAAACATAAAAAATGCGTTAGTGACAACCGTAAAGCATTCTGTTATCTAAGATCTGACCCTAAGTCAAGCTTATCACTGGTCAGTATGCTTGCTTTCCATGATACGACCCCAGGTTTCATTTCCCGTCGGAGCAGATTATAGTGTGATCTTCTTTGGCAATGTCTCGGTGTCTGTGGTTCAAATGTATCAAACTCGGTATCGGTTGCTGTGTAACGATGATAAAGCTCACTTCTCAGGTTGAGAAGATCAGAATGTCACTAGTAGGCAATGACCCCGTTAGATGCTGTTGTACGTGTGTCATGATGTACTATAAGGTGCACAATTTTACGATATGGACTTTCTTAAACCTACAAACTGAGGAATCTCGATTTCCGTGCAATTCGCGGCCGTATCTCGCTGTGACCCATACTCCGCGCATTTTGAACTCTCATATTTTGTAAAATTATCACACTATGTGTAGTTTATTATGTTTTTTCTTGCGTTGTTGAATTGGTTTCTCATAATATATGCTTTAAGTTAATGGAATTAATTATTTTCTGAAACAGCTGCATTTTGTTTTAGTTTTTTCCCGGAGAGTTTTTCACGCTTCAAAAAATATGTGATCTTATTTTCGTTGAACTCTAATTCTTCAAAACGCGCAAAATTTATAAATAATGCGTTAATAATAACCGTACGTGTTGTTGTAACACCGTAATTTTATTTGTCTAATTTTGTGTTTAATGAAATGAACATTTTCATTCTAATTTTCAATGAATGGAAAAAAATCTAACACTCTTTCGACGAAAGTACATGCTGAACAATTTTAAACAATAAGGGGAAACGCTCTTCAAACCTTTTAAGATATCAAAAATGGGTGGTAAATTTTAGACAGAAGACAAAGCCTCATGATATCCATGAACAAACATATTTAAATTGAAAATATTTAAAGCTACTCGAGTGACTTCTTGAATACGTAATGTCAGATGCAAAGAAAATGAAAAGTTTCAATTACATAGTCTGCTTCAGATTCTACAAATTTCTTAAAAAGTTTGTTGGTCTGAAAACTGTGACCTTGAAAGGAAACAAATTTATGTCTCGACGTTAAGAATCAAATTGAAAACATCTTACCCCAGTTGTCATAGCAAAATAAACAAATTAAAAAAAATACAAACGTTTTAAAAATAATTTGGTATAATGTTCTATTGATGTTTGTATTTGTTGTTTACTTATGTAACATTCCCGTCAGTAGTACAAGCTTTATCTATTGCTATTCAGGACCGTAGTTCAGCAATCAGACTAGACGCGAAAGATGTCATCGTGGCAATATCTACCACCAGCAATTACTGCAGAATGCAGCATTCTAATTGAAGTATTAGTCAGCGATCGCAAAATTTTCTCGGAAATTAAGGTTAAAGGTCACGAAATGCAGCGTCAATAACACTTATAAAACTTAAAGGTTAAAAATGATTTCAGTCGCTGACGTACAGTTCCGCCACTGAGAAAATTGAAGGAGGCACGCGGGGCTGTATGAACATTCAACCGCGTCTTCCTGTAGCTTACCTAGAGTACACAGCAGTAATAATGTAGGTGCTGACTTTTTGAAAGTATTTCTTTTCGTAAAAAATAAGCAATAAAATTGAAGAAAATATATTTTAAAAAAATTGATATTGGTAAGTAGAAACACAAAAAATATTTAATTACATAAAAATTCAGTGTCTAGTTATCACTTATTTTAGTCTACAGAGTACATACGTCTAGTGTCTAGTTATCAGTTATTTTAGTTCACAGACCATAAAGCTGGACTTAAACATTTTTGTGAAGTATAAAAGTAAGGAGATAGCTAATTTCTAATTATTGAACTTCAAAAATGTTTCTGAATAATGCTGATTAAATATGTTTAAATGTTGAAATTAAACTTTTAGACACAGTGTCCTCTTTTAAAGCCATAAAAAGCAGAATATTTAAATTATTAATGAATAGGAACACACATTTTTGTTGTGAAAGCGGACATTAACAATATTTTTAAACAAAAATTCGTTTGTTCAGTTCTTAAATTCACGTAAATGGCATTGAATTCACGTAAATGACATTCAGTGAAACTGACTAGAATTCAATTTTTGTCCTTGCCATTGGACGTGTATCACCTAAATTACGTGTTAATGGAAATGTATCACGATGTATTGAAGGAACTAAGTGTTTAAATATACTTTCACGTAGGTAACTAACAAACCAAAGTTTTATGTTCTGGTTAAAAAGAGGAAAGCGTTCAAATTGAAACTTAAATGAGTAATATAAGTGGACTGTATCTCAAAACATGAATAACTTTGTTTATTTATTAATATGTTTATTAATATTAATATTACAATATTTATTTGTTAATATTATTACAAAAGTCTTCTTTACATATTTTCTCAATTAACTATGAACTTTGTTTTTACCCATTTGTTTTCGTCGGTAAATTGTAAAGAATGATGCAAATTGAAATTGACAGTTTTATCTGTATTTAACCTAATCCACTCAGGGATATGTGCTGTTTAGACTCTTTCATCAACAATTAGACAGAAGCCTCATTGGGCGTTTTGCGTCATTTCGTTCAGTAAACGGATTTTAATTTTTTGTTTCCATCGGCTTAATACAAGCCAATTTTGAGGCCCTAAGAGGATTCATTTAATTTCCTATTATACTGGAATTTCATCTTTGACTTAAACGAACGTACTGGCTTGGGATGTATAATTTTAGAAATACTTTTCCCATTTTAAGTGAATGTAATAATCTTTACAGTATCAGCGCAGGAGGCGTACTTTTCATTTGTCGTCGTTTTTATCTAAATGAAATAAAAATTGCGCTACCTCTGCAGTCTGGTTAAGTTAAATACACCCTATTTATTAATAATTTTGAAATGTCGATTCTCTCTCACAGTAGAATATTTCATATTCAATCATTCACCAGGAATAACGCTTACGATAAATGACCAATCAAATTAATTACTATTCAAATATAATTTTATTGAATCAGTACAGAGTGTGTGTTAGATATGTAAGTGCCATTCATTTGGAAATATATTAAGATATTCTTACTTATTCGTATATTACAAGATTAAATAGTAGGTGTTAACAAACAATACATTATGTTTCAACAATCGTTAGAGCATGGCCGAAAGTTGTTAAAGCCGAAATTTTAAACACATTTATATCCGAAAGTAGGCTTTTTCATATTTCTTATAGAAATGGTCTAAAGTACGGGAAACATAGTATTATGGCAGACATACCTACCAAACGCGGAGGATATGCCATTTTTATCACTGGAAAAAGTTTGATATTTAGTTTTAGAGTAAACAAACTCAGCTCTACTGATATTCAGTCTGCATAACTACTTATCAGTACTAATATTTAATAGTAATGAGAAGGACGTTGAATAAGTTATCTATCTTGGTATCTTACGTCATTGCTGGAGAGTTGAAAGTGCAGAAAAAGATTGGCACATGTCTTGGTATGTTTCGCCCCTTGTCGGGTTGTGCACCCAAGTGGTGCAAAATTAAATGTCCAGCTCTTATCGGGGATGGATAAGGAACATGGGTCTTCATAATAGAAACACCAAAAACAATAAGTATTAGAGGTATATTTTCCAAATCACAGTCCACCAGCTTTTTTGAAAACGAATACATGCAGCTCGTGATAGTAAAACAATCTTCCTCTATTTATTACTTTTCTCATTTACATCCATATTATATTACACTTCCCCGGAGGTCGTATTGTCTGTGCGTATCAGCCCAGCCCGTAAACGACGACGAAACGCGACGTAAAACAAAAGCCGTGCGCTCGACGCAAAACTGCCACGTTCTCATTTCTGCCTAATCACGGTGTCAAGTCGAAAAGCAGCGCTATCGGCGCCGTAAACGTTTTAAAGTAACAGAATCCGCCGTAAAGCTGCGCGCGTAAAGCGAACGCGGCGCATAAAACGCGCGCGGGAATAGGTTTCCGCCCCTGCGACGCGCGCTCCTTCGGCAGGCACGTTTCGCTCCATCGCCCCCGAAACCGCACGTGCGTATCGAGCAGTACGCTCTCCGGTGTTTGTGACGGATCGGCGCTTTGTGTTGAAGGTGGAAGGACAGAAACAGCAACCTCTGTGGCTTATCTAAGCAACCGTACGGACTCTTGCAGAAAAAGATACAAAATTGTCTGGTTAGTTCACTATCGTACACATAATAGCAGTTACAATAATAGTGAGTCATTCATAAATCACAATTCCATCATCACGAAAGATACAGTATTGTTCAGAATACATTCTAGAGCATGTAGACGGTAGATTTATATAATAATAATAATAATAATAATAATAATAATATTATTATTATTATTATTATTATTATTATTATTATTATTATTATTATTATTTTTGTCCCATAAATATGTGATATTTCACCACATGTTTGACATCGTGATCCTGGTTGATACGCAACTCATCATGGACTGGTATTTGCCAGGTTCACGAACTCACACCGGCTCAGAATAACTCAGAGGCCAAATTGTCATTGACACTGATATCAATACCGATACTGACCTAGATGTTCTAGGTTTTGCAGTCCAGACTATCACGGATTATCGACTCTTGCTACACAACCAAAGTTATCGAATTCGGCCGCTTCCTAGTAGGGAACTCTGACAACCGGCTGCTTTGATCGGTAGTTTCCCTTGGTTTCTCGGATAAATACCAGGCAAATCTTTGAGCAATGACGTAACAGGCCACGGACCGCGCACCATCTTTCTTTCCCCTTCCTTTTTTTCTCCTCGCCCTTTACACACAGACACAGACTTACTTACACTACACTACCAGATATGCAGGGAATCCAGCCTGGAGCTCAAGGGCTTTTCGTGACAAATCTACTGAGATTATGTACAATGTTTTTGGTGTTTGAAAATCTTTAAAAAGTTAACTTAAATTAATGATTAAATCTCAATATTACTTCATTGTTACATTTTTCTACATAGAACGCTCTTATTGTCATTCTTAAATTATTTTTTGCTCATAAAACAGATTTATAGTTTCAAAATTGTTTCATAATCACACCAAAAAGGCGATGAAACGATCGCTCCTAACCACGTTTAAAGTCACATTTTCAACGAAATTTCATCGCTGCCTCTGTCCCAGTAACCCCACATTTCGACCGAGGCCAAACTACATTAACGAGTGCTAATCCTTCCACGCATGTTCCCTTTCATACAAAAACCCAGTGAGTGTGAGATTACTCCGAAGCACGTAATCTGATAGTGGCTGAGGAAACCGCAAAGCTGACGCAGGAAGAAGCTTCCTGTTTCGGCAAGCCTCTCCGACAGTCACGACCCAGAACAGCACCGCGCTGCACGTGAAGTCTCACGTACTCTGGACACGATGCAAAAAAAAGGCTGCAAAAATGTAATTTCTCCACTAGATATATCGCAGACAAGAAACATCTTATATCGTGTGAAACAACAATGTGCTTTTGTGATGAATTAATTGTATTAAGTGCCAAGATGACATCAATGAGAGTGAGGTTTTGCAGAATGAAGTGCGGTGTTTTTTATAGAAAGTGATGTAAGAACGCGTGTATTTGTGTCATCACGAGGCGTTATCCATCTTAAATTTGCAACTCATTCATCTAATTTTTTTGTAATATTTCTTTTAAACTACAAACTACAAGTTCAAATAGTGGTCTTACTGAGGACAATTGACCAACAACAAAAATGTATTTTATTATTTGGGTAAAGAAATATATATTAATTTACTAAATGAATGAACATCAATTTAACATTGAAGAAACAGTTTATTATAAACAACAACAACAAATCAAGTACATAGACACAAAATGTGGACAGAGAGTTACTGTATGTTTCACGTATTTATTATAATGCTCATCTCTTCACAAATTTCGGAGGTGTGTTGCCTTCGAAAATGTTGCCGGAAAGGCGCCAAATTAACAGAAAATGGGAGATATTGTACATTACATTTAGAAAAAAACAATTCAAAAAACAATTACACACCAAACGATGTCCTTTATAATAGAACGTATTGGTTGCCTACAAAAATGTATCAGTCCGGAATGACAGTAACTTATGGAGCCTCACCTTGTCTTGAAAACAAAATGCTTCTCCTACTAATAAATGACACGAAGTATGACATAATAGAAAATGATACTCTTGTCCTCTCTGATATAAAGAAGCCGCATATAACGAGAGAATTCGACAATGACTCCTACTGCGTAGACTTTATTGAGGGAAGCATGGGCCCACACGTTATAAAAATATGTGCTTGCAATGATGTAGTATGCATTGACAAATGTTGCCCTCAAGGACAAGTTGTGAATTTGATTAATGAAACTGCTACATGTGTTCGCAACACTTCGCAGCGTCTTCCATATCGAGTTGTTGATAAACTCGACACACCCGTAGAATATAAATTCCCCGACGGATACTTTTGCGAGGAAGGGAATTTAAAAAAGGGCTCTTCTAAATACGTCAGGGGAGCGAGTTTACGCTCTACAGATCTGGATCGTGTTTACCGATTGTTTACAGAAGAAGTGAAGTGTGTGGACCACGTGAATGGTAAAAATCAGATACTGACGTGCTTGCGGCCTACGACCTTGCTAGGCGTGGAGTACGTCAGCCGGCCCTTAAGCGTGGTGATTGCATTAGTCCTATCGCTTACGCTTTTTGCCCTATGGTCCCTTGCCGAACTCAGAGCGACTACCCACGGAAGGGCGTTGTTCTGCCACGTGTTTTCACTGGTGATGGTGAATACCTTGCGAGCTTGTTCGCATTTGTACGGCGATGAGCCAGAAATATGTTTAAATTTTGGTAAGTTTCGGCTTTTCACATATCTTATTATACCTTATACTGACTTACAAAATATTGTTTAAGAGCAGTGTTAGAAAGGAAACGATAATAAGTATTACGCAAGCAGCTAACACCAAAGGCATGGGATATTTTACATAGTTTTATAAAGAAGCAAAGAGACCTTGGTTCCATGGGAAACCTATTGAGAGTGATTTTGCGTCAATGGTGAACCGAGGTAGAGCTGGTCATTATAGTTTAAACTCTTCATTATTTAGAGTTATATAAACATCTGATCCAACAATCCCGTGTGGATACTATACTCAAGATCTAAATCATGCAATATGGCAATGTACAGTATACAAAGAAGAAAGAGAATATTTAATTAAAAGACTGAATAAGATTAATATATTTGATGTCAAAATGTTCCTTAGCAAATCCAATAGTACAGTTATGAAATACATTTGTTGAATTTCTGTTATCATGTAAACTAAAAGTATAAGATTAATTGAAGAAATTGAAGTAACGCTGAGAAATTAGAACCTACTGATTTAATGAAAATAATTAATCAATTGTAAAGTACAAAATCGGTGTACGTATAAAATGTTATTTCCGCAACGAATTATTGTGACTATATTGATTATATTGATGAAACTGAGAGTTTAATTCGTTAAAATACATAGTTTTATTTTGGGTACGGGTATTGTTTTACAACTAATTTTCCCCCTCCGAGTAAGCAACTCACATTCATAATATGTTAGTGATAATGAATGATTACCATAATTTCATAAAGAAATTATGCAATCATTGCAAATAAGATGCAAATAAGAGCAATTTGATCGATGAATTAGCACTAGAAATGTATAAGAAACGCAATGAAAAGCAATTGTTTTCAAATAATAACAGTGATTTTGAAATACGTTGCTGCCTGCAGCATTATGTACGTATTAAGGAAAAATCTGCAGTATGTTGAAACACCTATCTTAGACAGACACCTCCTATCAGACACGAGTTGATAGAGCAGCTTAAGCTCAAATCTTTTTAAAGCCTTGAGAATGCACGCCTCGACTGTGAATCACTTTTGTTTACATTGCAGTAAGTCGAATTCAGAACCGCGCTTCCGGTAGACGATTCGCATTCTGTAGCAATCCGACTATATAGACAGGTGCGATTGCACTTGCAGAGAAATGTGACTGCGCTTGCATACAGGGTGACTGCGCGTCTCGTTATTTCAAACTTACATTTCTGCAAGACGATGATTTACGTAGTTTGAAGCTCCCAAGAAAAGCCTTTAAAGTGCAATTACATTATCTAATTTTTTTACCTATTTTTACATTTTATATATCCCTGTCACTTAAAAGCGACAAATTAGTGGCCATCTATACATTATTAATTTATATTATATGTATTACAGATTGTCTCCTATATTATTGCAGTAATACAGATAGTTCTGCGGCTCCCATAGTAAACGTATCTTCAAAAATAAGGTATCTAAGGAAAGGGCCTTTCACGTAGACGTGACAAATTGCACTTTCATTTTAAAAATAAGAAGAATTTGTTGAAAAACCGCATATGAATATTTATATAAAATGTAACCCGCAATACTCTAGTAGCATTGCTAAAATCTACATCATTCAATAACTCCTGAACGAAACGTTCTAGAGACCTAAAATTGAGATTATTGAGCCAAGTTCAAATACACATTTCTCGCACTATAATATAGATTACGAGACCTTCTTGAACATTCTATTACATTTTTGCTGGTCCGGCGCTTCTCGATACTAACCCTATACTAGTAAAAAAATGAAGTATTAAAACTATAAAAGTATTATTTATTTAAAGGAATCTGGAATCTTTCACACTTCAAAAGTTTTATTTGCTTCTTAAATTTCTTTAATCATTTAATATATAATTTTAATGTCAATTTCGCAATGCTTTCATTTTTTATAAAATTACGGTTCTTGGGACACAATATATTTAGTAATAATCGGTAAATAAAACCGTTTTGTTGACTAACTGAGACTAACTTGTTTCTGCATTGCAGCTCTTTCGGTGTATTTCTTCCTCGTAGCAGCTAACGTGTGGGTGAATGTTCTCACATTAGACATAGCAGATGGACTACGGTAATGATATTTTATTTGTTTCATTATTCTGCATGCATTCGATAGAAATGCCCAGTTTGATGGAGACTGTGTGACACAATCACAACAGTTTACAGAATTATATTTCTATTTACAATGGTTTTGCATTTTCATACACCACTGTGGCGTGCTCTAACAAATGAGAATGGAAGTTTTGTAAGGCTAGTTTTCTGTAATTGGACGGGACTCATAACAAAGTTAATCTCAATTCAAAGCTAATCGGATAATGATAAACATATCGTTTTGTCTTTTGCGAACCAATTTAAATAGCTTTAGAGAACCTAAGCTACCGAATTTTAAATCGATATCTATTAAAAACTACAAGAACACGAATGTTATCTGTTATTTGAGTTTAGCGAGAAGATTCGGTAATAAAATACTGAAAATCATACTCGAAAACAGGAATAATACAGCGTTTCGCGTTAGTCATGTAGGGATATTTACGACAAAGTAGAGATCTCTACAAAATCGAGACGAGTGACAACCCTTGTGGTAATAAATAATTAAAGTTCAATACATCCTATTCATGAAGTTATGTTCTATATTCTCTTTCTGTATTCTGTCCACACACAAATCAGTGGGTTGCAAATTGGGAAACTGCGTAAAAAATTAATTTTTAAAGGCTTCAATGACAGCTGTCAGTTAGTAACCGTATCATTCAACTTTATATATATATATATATATATATATATATATATATATATATATATATATATATATATGGCTGTAGTTTCGTTGGAACGGCATTATTTCTTTTTATTGGAGAATTTTGTCTTGAGGTACTGATAGGACTGTGGGAGTGGAAAGAATTATTACAAGAATAATTTCTAAATAATATATCATGTAATCATTTCATCAAATAATATATCAACATATTGTAAACAAAATGTTGAAGTTCGCAATGATGTGTATGTTATCTTTGAATATGCAAATATATGTTCAAATATTGATAATCAGAAACTTCAGAACATTTCTATAAGCCTAATTTGTAAATTTTTGACAAACGTTTGATTGAAATTAACGAACAAATAAATAGGTAAATACATATCCGAAAAAAAATTCATAAAGAAATTAGTAGACGTCGGCATTATTATATTTGTTACAAAATATTCAACGCGTTTAGTACAGAACTCAAAAATTGTGATGTTAATACACGAGGACAACGAAAGCGTATGAGATCCTGGATTATCGATTTGAATGATTCAGTAATTCAATCATTCTACCAACCCATGCAGTGACTAAGGAATAATGTCTCAAATTATATTATATTTTATATTATTTTTCATTTTATAATTATCATTTTTCTTTAATTTTGTTTTTTCTTCAAAAATTGATAAATGAAACAAGTAGACATATATGATACATGATAAGTCATTGCAGGTTCGCGCACAAGACAATGTCTTCTGCGAAATAATGTCAACATTATTTGTACTTTGTTACAACCTGTAAATAAATAAATAAAATAAATAAATAAATACATAAATAAATAAATACATAAATAAATAAATACATAAATAAATATAAATCCTCGTCTTGCTGATATTTAATGACGTGACTTTTAGACGGCCGCTGCATGAACGTGCTGTGGGGGACACTGGGCGATGGAAACGCACAATAATCTTCAGCATCTACGCCTGGGGTTTCGCAGCTGTTCTCACGTCCTTTGCAGCACATGCAGAGTTTAATCCCCAATCTACTCTTCCTAAGCCGACATACCTAGAAACACGAACGTGTCGTTTTGAGGAGTGCGGTATGTACTAAACATTTAATTTAATATTAACTTTCAGGAAATGCAACTGCAACAGGAGCTATTGAGAATATATATATATATATATATATATATATATATATATATATATATATGTGTGTGTGTGTGTGTGTGTGTGTGTGTGTGTGTGTGTGTATACAAGATGTAGTTTTTATATGCGTGGTCTACAGAAAACTTCACTGCACATTATAATGTTTAAAAAATATAAAGGGGATCAGTTGGCAAAAATCACGAATACAAAGTCAATACAATTCAAACTATTTTGTGAATTAATTCAATGTTCATAGCTTGTGTTATATTTAGTCTTAACTATTGTTTAGAAAGTAGATACACACCATCCAAATAAAGACTTATTTTTATTTTTAACAACTAATTACATTTTACAACTACCTACCTTTAAATTTAATAACATAACTTTTTTACATTTGATAAGAAAAATATAACTTGCATTTTAACTATCTTTCATGCCACTGACATTTTAGGTTACTTGGGAAGACATGCAACATTGACATATTATTATGGGCCAATAGGAACGTTATTTCTGGTGAACTTGGCTATCTATGCATATTTGGCAATACGGCTTGATCAACTCAACGCTGATTCAGAAATGGTGGATGAACAAGCAATGAATGACCCGGCACCATCACATCGCAGGTAAATATAAATTGTTTATGTATAAATGTTCCTTAGCTTTATTTACTTAGCGGACTCTGACTTAGGTTTGTCATTATTGTTTCCTGAGAACAATGGTCATTAGCACAAGTTCTTTAAGGAGGTTATGATTACATGAGAAGGTAGCCAAAGTCTAATTATCCGATTTGAAATTAAATAAGATATACTTAAAAATAAGAATATAAATTATTTCATTAAGACCATAAAGTTCTTACACGGGCGCACATAAACAACTCATACAAGAATCATACAGTTCCCTAACTTTGCACAGTCTTCCTTTTTCTCGCCCCTGTTTACTTATTACCACTCGTAGACTTAATTCCTAATTATATTCAATGCTTCAATTCATATCCTCATGAAACTTCAGATCATGCATGAAAATAGTCCATCATTTCTTTAGTTATCATTTTACTATGACAATAACCTTTCTTTTAATTTCCGACTCAAATATTAAACATTGCACAATTGTGAGAAAGTTGGAATCGTTAATACAGCTTAATCTATAAAATGAACCTGGCCGTTCACTGCGAGTCAAGGTGACGGCTAAAAAGGGAAATATTTACTCGAGCATTTTCAAAACATCAATCGAATCCGCAAATATTTGACCGCTAATTGAGATAGCCGTTTTGACAGGTTACACAGAAATCTAAGTGAATAATCCGTTACACTTTTCGCTAATCATAAAAAATTTCGAATGGTGTTTTTTTATTAAAAGATGAGTTAGATGTTTCCTCGTACACCTACATTATATAAAACATATGTGAAATTAATTCATATGCTTCTCAACACTAACATATAAATACATGGACAATATCATATGCATTAAATACGAATTACGTTCTTCATACTTTTTTATCCCATTGAAACAAGTCTTGTATTTGATGCAGTGGAACGATATTCTTCCGCCTTCTGATGATGATGGGCACAATCGAGTGGGTGGTGGAATTCACCATGTGGGGGCTGAGAGGCAAATTCAGAACGACTGAATACTTGGAAAAGTACAAACGTTTTGCGACGATAGAGGATGAACACCAGTCACAGGTGAGTTGAACAGACATGCCATATGCGGATGAAGTCGTAGGCTTCCGCGGCCAGTCATGTGCGTGATCTGGGCTGTCCGGGTGACGCCGCGTCGAAGGCTGTGTTGTCGACGTTTCGACTATCTTGTCGTGGTCTTCCTCAGGGCTGGAATGCGCATACCCGAACAGCCCAGATCACCCGGACAGCAGATGCCATATCCTGAACTGTGCAAAGCGAATGTCGATTAGAGTAACAGTGGTCGTGAGAGAAGTGTCTTCCGTATTGTAGTAGATGTATTCCCAAAAATAAATTGGTGGTCATGAGAAGTTATAAGGCTTTAAACAATTTAATATGTGATAAACATTTAGACTTTCTGTGCTATGGAGTCCCTGAATTCAATACTAAAAGTTTCAGAAATATTATGAAGAGAATCGGTAAGACAGAGGAATGCCAATACTAAGCAAACACCTTTGACGTAATACTTCTTTAACCATCCAACAGTCGCTGCCACAAAAACAATACCAAAAATAACAGTAAATTTTCTTTTTACGATTAACCTTAACCCGGAGAGATCGAAATAACTCAACCGTATCTACAAAACACATTTTCTCCATTCCATTTATCAATTAACATATAAACATAGTTTTGTGGTTAGGATATAATCTAAGTGCGTTCGTTGGCTTCCGCGGCCAGAGTCAATGCATTCTTGGCTATCCGGAATGAGCCGTGTCTCGGCTGTGACCTTCGTCAGAGCTATACAGTATAGCTCTGACATCTTGCTGTGGCCTTCTTCAGAGCTATACTGTATAGCTCTGAAGAAGGCCACAGCAAGATGACCGAAACGTCAGTACAATTGACCGAGACACGGCTCATCCCGGATAGCCAAGAATGCATATAATATGTTTTTATCCTCCAGACCTCGTATATACTATAAAATGACTTCGACAAGCTCTAAAGATAAATATTTCTCAATTTTATGCCTACGTTCTGGATCAATATTGTTCGTTCTAAGTGTACAGCTTTCGAACAAAATTGAACGAATGAGTTCAGGAAGTTGCTCATTTCCTGGTATTAAATTTGCCATTCTACCTCTCCCAAATGAAGCTGAAATGGGCGGTCTCATTTCATCTGTCAGTTATATAGATCTTACTTGGACTGAAAATTGCAAAATAAGCGGACATTATTTCACTAGTTTTAAAGAAGTTAAATAGAAAGCTACTGCAAACGCGACTTCGGACCTCGTATCACTTTCATGAAAATCAACAATTGCAAGGACGTCAAATCGACGGTCAAAAAAATATTTTCGGACACTAATGGGCCGCAACGCAAAATTGCATATAAGCACATGTACTGAACATATGGATCACATTTAAACAAATATTTAATAAAATATTGCTAATATTTTTGTAATATTATATTTTTGCAACATTACCCGTAAACCTCATTAGTTTCCTGGTATTGAGAAAATATTTCATTACTCTACCATGCATGTACGCAGATGGCGTTATTGCGGCATGAACTAATGTGGAGTAATTTAGCTTCGTGTGCGACGTAACCAAAACAGATAGCTTGCAAAGCAAACGGTCGCGGCTCGAACCGTAGGACATTCCAGTCAGAGATACAGCAATGATATTGGTTGATGTCCTCAACCACCAGTTCTTTCGAACTGTCACCCCGTCCTGCCCCCCCCCCTTGTGTGCACGCCTACGCCCCGTTTCGAGTGTATGCTGAACGAGTGAATGCGTTTTGTTGAACCCTCGTTTTGCTTGTAGTGGTAGGAGGTAAGGGCGAGTTACTATTTTGTTAGTAATGCAGAAAATCAAATCTGCAGTTCGTTTACTGTAGAAAAAAACGTTTTTGATAACTCGGGAACGAAAATGTCTAGTTTTTCAAATGTCGCTAATCTCGCACTTTTTCTAAGTTTCATATTTATTTTACTTTTTTATTTTTTATTTATATTTATTTATTTATTTATTTTTTATTTATATTTATTTATTTATATTTATTTATTTATATTTATTTATTTATTTATATTTATTTATTTATTTATTTGTATTTATTTATTTATTTACCTTTAACTTTTACTCATCTTTCAACTAATGATAGTTAAAATGGGAAGGGTTTCTGGAACTCAAGAGAAACGTGCGCAGATAGTCTTCTCCGCCATTCGTCACATAGAGTTTTTTTTACCGTTTTCCGACTAACTGAATCTAAATGTCAGTCTACGCGAGTTGTGCGTGCGTGTGTGCGCAGACGGAGTTCCGCATCGCGGGCGTGGTGCTGGACGCGCTGCGCGCGGCGTCCGTCGCGTGGGTGTGCTGCGGGCGGCCGCGCGTGCGCAGGCGCCTCGGGGAGAGCGTGCGCCGCACCCTGCGCCGCCCGCTGCGCCTCGCCAGCGCCCTCAGCTCC